ATATAAAGAGCAAAAAACTGTCTCTAAACTGTAGCATAGGATAAGATAAAGACAGTTGGCAGACGTTACAAGATTGGTTTTCGAGGAACCTATTCTGAGCCGCATTAAGTGCATATACGTATAATGGAGGGTTACCGTCGTTAACCTTTGATGAACCCGTCAGTGCACAGTACAATGATATACACAGCACGAAATATTGTCAGTGTAAGGCTCATATGATAATTGTTACAGGAAATATGAAGTGGGGTGATGCATTCGATTTGAAATCATGAAATGAAGATCATGGCAGTCGTCGTTTTTCAAAAATTAAGCAATCCATCTGCCGAATAGACCCAGCAGCAGTATCCGATGTCACTATTTCGCTTGGGAAGAAGTTCAACGATCGAACTACCGACTTACTGAAGGAAAACTTACGTGGATCTAGGCGTGCACATTCACGTTTGACCTTATACGGGAGGCCGCGCAGGTGAGTCATGTTTGTAAACTGAAAGAAATCTTCAGATTTCAGCAAACTGGAATGTCCGGTGATAATATGGAATATCCATTGCAGGTCGCACCTCAATTGTCTATAAGACAGGGAAGCAAGTAAAGCTTAATTAATCGTTCGGGATAAGACAGAGTCCTAAGACCTAGTTCGTCCCTTGTTAGGTGACGCATCATATTGTGTTTACTTAAGGCCTACAAGAGCTTCGAGGTTGCGGGAAGTGTATTTATTGTCCAAAAGTCGTCAAATACCGTCGATCAGCCGTGCTTGTGTATGGGCAATATATGCGATTGCTTCCATCAAGTAGGAATCGTGTCGCTTTCAAGATCAAGATTAAATACGTTACACAGAAGAGATGGAAACATGTAATTCGCTAACCGAGACGCCCTCTAATCCTGGAATATGGCATTGGCGAAAACGTCGAATGACCTCGGTCACATCCCAAAGGGTAAAATTATGGTTGCAAAGGCGGCACTAGGCAAAGCCCGAATGGCCGGAAGTGGAGCTACCGAATTTGCTTTAAACGTTCTGGATAAGAACGCCTTGAAGCTATCAGCCGTCATTTTAGCATCAACTATGGAGTTTCCTAAGGCATCTAACAGCATGGGGTGCTGCGTTTTTCTCTGCGTTTTTACTGTGCGCAAAAAGAGTGCCGCAAAATTTAGCGAAGGGTTTTCGGCAAAGTAGACCTCAGTGGCTAACGCTTTTTCTTCGGAGAGCCTCCCAGCCTGCTTAAGGATCAGTTGGATGAAGAACAGAACAGAAATATTGTTCTGTTGACTGAAGCGAAGCGAGAATCTAAGCATCCTATGGCGGCAAGATAGAGGGAGGTAGATTTCATCCTTGACATGAATTATTTTCTTACGGGGAAAAATGGCTCCAGAACTTTGTACAATATATCAGTACAAACATTTACATCCAAACACAGGGAAAAGTCACATCAGTCGTATGAATTATCGGCAGTTCCACGTATTTGCTGATCGGACATCATGGAAAAGACTACATTTTTGGAAAGCATTTTGTCCGACTCCATTTCTAGTGTTGTTACGAGTTAAAAATGATCAGATCTCCCACTCGCGTCTACAGATGACACTGACCATGGTTCACAACCTCCAAAGAAA